GCTGGGAAGCAAATACTAGGATGCACAACGTTAGGAAAAATATCACGCTAGGAAGCTCCACGCCGGGAAGCACCACGTTGGGAAGCAACACGCTGGGAAGCAATACGCTGGGAAGCACCACACTGGGAAGAACCCTGCTGGGAAGCATCACGTTTAGAAGCACAACGATGGGAAGCAAATTGCTAGGAAGCACCACTCGTGGAAGCACCACGCTAGGAAGCACCACGCTGGGAAGCAAAACGCTGGAATGCAGCACGCTTGGAAGCAACACGCTGGGAAGCATCCCGCTGGGAAGCAACACGCTGGGAAGCACCACACTGGGAAGCACCACACTGGGAAGCACCACACTGGGAAGCAAAACGCTGGAATGCAGCATGCTGGGAAGCACCACGCTGGGAAGCACCACGCTAGGAAGCACCGTGCAGGGAAGCAAAACGCTGGAATGCAGCACGCTTGGAAGCAACACGCTGGGAAGCACCCCGCTGGGAAGCAACACGCTGGGAAGCACCACACTGGGAAGCACCACACTGCGAAGCACCACACTGGGAAGCAAAACGCTGGATTGCAGCATGCTGGGAAGCACCACACTGGGAAGCAACACGCTGGGAAGCAACACGATGGGAAGCACAACGCTGGGAATCACCACGCTGGGAAGCACCACGTTAGGAAGCACCACGCTGTGAAGCAACACGCTGGGAAGTAACACGATGGGAAGCACAACGCTGGGAAGCACCACGCTGGGAAGCACCACGCTAGGAAGCACCACGCTGGGAAGCAACACGATGGGAAGCACCACGCTGGGAAGCACTACGCTGGGAAGCAACACGTTGGGAAGCACCACGCTGGGAAGCAACACGATGGGAGCACCACGCTAGGAAGCATCACGCTGGGAAGCATCACGCTAGGAAGCACAACGCTGGGAAACACCGCGCTAGGAAGCACCTTGCTAGGAAGCACCACTCTTGGAAGCACCACGCTGGGAAGCACCACGCTGGGAGGCACCATGCTGGGAAAGCACCACGCTAGGAAGCATCACGCTGGGAAGCACCACGCTGGGAAGCACCACTCTGGGAAACACCGCGCTAGGAAGCACCTTGCTAGGAAGCACCATTCTTGGAAGCACCACGCTGGGCAGCACCGCGCTTGGAAAATACTTGCCAATTTTTCTCCTATTGATAATTGTTTATTGTAATGAGCTGAATGAATCTATTCTTTGCTATATTTACCCGCCCACTGCCCGGCTATATATTCTTCATTATATAGCCGGGCCATAATGATATTATATATAATAATATCATTATAATGATTTAACCTTTCATTATATCCTTATACAAATAAAATTACTTATTCAGCTTCTCTGGCGCTGACATCAAGACACCACCAACATTTCTGTCGCAGGTGTCAGCTCACTGAGCTGAAATGCGGCATCAGCAGCGCAGCTGGGGTGGCAGCTGTGGAGTCCGTGGCTACGGCCACAACTGTGCTGGACTTTGCACTCCCCGCCCCCCTCAGCCTGCACGCCCTGCACGGCAAATATAAGATCCTAGGTGAGGGCGGGTGGTTTGGGATATGCAGCCTTGCAAGAACTGCTGCAGCAGGACCAAGTTTAGCTTAGCGGCCTCGTTCAGAGGATAACTCTAACAAGTTTGAGTTAGTTTAGTTTTCACATATTTAAATTCCATATATTTAGCATATATTCAATTACCTGTAATTTGCGTTATAAGTGGATGCCGTCGCCTAGTTTAAGGCTCAAATACGATTGATGCCATCGGAGAGGCATGCTGCACGGTAAACGAAGGCACAAATTAAAAAATTTGTCAACGCCTCACTGGCCACGTGACCTCCTCACGTGTTCCTCGCGGGTAGCGCCCGTGTGCCCCATGGGCCACGTCTGTTCCTCACAGGTGGAACATGTGCGCTCCACAGGCCATGTAAGCGCCACACGGGCTCCCATGAACAATTTAGAGCAACGCTGGGTGAAGGACTGGCAGGAAACCAGACCATCATGCTGGGTTGCAACCAGGCCATCATGCTGGGTTGCAACCAGTCAATCATGCGGGGTTGCAACCAGGCAATTATGCTGGGTTGCAACCAGGCAATTATGCTGGGTTGCAACCAGGCCATCATGCTGGGTTGCAACCAGTCAATCATGCGGGGTTGCAACCAGGCAATTATGCAATTATGCTGGGCTGCAACCAGGCAATCATGCTGGGTTGCAACCAGGCCATCATGCTGGGCTGCAACCAGGCCATCATGCTGGGTTGCAACCAGGCAATCATGCTGGGCTGCAACCACACTGAGTGAGTGCAGGCAGCTGTGCTGGGTGAGGGGTGAGGGCAGGCAGCTGTGCTGGGTGAAGTCTGGCCCTCGTGTTGCCATNACACGTGCCGTGAGTCTCAGTAGATACCGACACGTGCCGTGAGTCTCAGTAAATACAGACACACATGCCGTGAGTCTCAGTAGAGACCGTAACACGTGCCAAGAGTCTCTGTAGATACCGACACACGTGCCGTGAGTCTCAGTAGATACCGACACACGTGCCGTGATTCTCAGTAGATACAGACACACGTGCCGTGAGTCTCAGTAGATACCGACACACGTGCCGTGATTCTCAATAGATACCGACACACGTGCTGTGCGTCTCAGTAGATACCGACGCACGTGCCATGAGTCTCAGTAGATACGACACACGTGCCGTGAGTCTCAGTAGATACCGACACACGTGTCGTGAGTCTCGGTAGAGACCGACACACGTGCCGTTAGTCTCAGTAGATACCGACACACGTGCCGTGATTCTCAGTAGGTACCGACACACGTGCCGTGAGTCTCAGTAAATACCGACACACGTGCCGTGAATCTCAGAAGATTCAGACATACGCGCCGTGAGTCTCAGTAGATACCGACGCACGTGCCGCGAGTCTCAGTAGATACCGACATACATGCCGTGAGTCTCAGTAGATACCGACATACGTGCCGTGAGTCTCAGTAAATTCCAACACACGTGCCGTGAGTCTCAGTAGATACCGACACACGTGCCGTGAGTCTCAGTAGATACAGACACACGTGCCGTGAGTCTCAGTAGATACCGACACACGTGCCGTGAGTCTCAGTAGAGACCGACACACGTGCTGCGAGTCTCAGCAGAGACCGACACACGTGCTGTGAGTCTCAGTAGATACCGACACACATGCCGTGAGTCTCAGTAGATACCGACACACGTGCCGTGAGTCTCAGTAGATTCCGACACTCTTGCCGTGAGTCTCATTAGATACCGACACACGTGCCGTGATTGTCAGTAAATACCGACACACGTACCGTGAATTTTAGTAGATACAGTTATACGTGCCATGAGTCTCAGTAGATACCGACATACGTGCCGCGAGTCTCAGTAGATACCGACACAGGTGCCGTGAATCTCAGTAGATACCGACACACGTGCCGTGAGTCTCAGTAGATACCGACACACGTGCCGCGAGTCTCAGTAAATACCAACACAAGTGCCGTGAGTCTCAGTAGATACAGACACACGTGCCATGAATCTCGGTAGATACCAACACACGTGCCGTGAGTCTTAGTAGATACCGAGAAACGTGCCGTGAGTCTCAGTAGAGACCGACATACGTTCCGTGAGTCTCAGTATATACTGACACACGTGCCATGAGTTTCAGTAGAGACCGGCACACGTGCCGTGAGTCTCAGTAGAGACCGACACACGTGCCGTGAGTCTCAGTAGATACCTACACACGTGACGTGATTCTCAGTAGAAACCGACACACGTGCCGTGAGTCTCAGTAGATACCGACACTCGTGCCGTGAGTTTCAGCAGAGACCGACACACGTGCCGTGAGTCTCAGTAGATACCGACACACGTACCGTGAGTCTCAGTAGATGCAGACACACGTGCCGTGAGTCTCAGTAGATACCGACACACGTACCGTGAGTCTCAGTAGATACCGACACACGTGCCGTGAGTCTCAGTAGATACCGACGCACGTGCCGTGAGTTTCAGTAGATACCGACACGTGCCGTGAGTCTCAGTATATACCGACACGTGCCGTGGCTCTCAGAAGATACCGACACACGTGCTGTGTCTCAGTAAATACCGACACGTGCCATGAGTCTCAGTATATACCGACATGTGTCGTGAGTCTCAGTAGATACAGACACAAGTGCCGTGAGTCTCAGTATATACCGACATGTGTCGAGAGTCTCAGTAGATACAGACACAAGTGCCGTGAGTCTCAGTAGATACCGACACATGCCGTGAGTCTCAGTAGATACCGACACACGTGCCGTGAGTCTCAGTAGATACAGACACAAGTGCCGTGAGTCTCAGTAGATACCGACACATGCAGTGAGTCTCAGTAGATACAGACACACATGCCGTGAGTCTCAGTAGATACCGACACACGTGCTGCGAGTCTCAGTAGATAGCGAAACGTGCCGTGAATTTCAGTAGATACCGACACGTGATGTGAATCTCAGTGGATACCGACTCACGTGCCGTGAGTTTTAGTAGAGACCGACACACGTGCCGTAAGGATCAGTAGATACCGACACACGTGCATTGAGTCTCAGTAGATACCGACACACGTGCCGTGAGTCTCAGTAGATACCGACACACGTGCCGTGAGTCTCAGTAGATACCGACACACGTGACGTGAGTCTCAGTAGATACCGACACACGTGTCGTGAGACTCAGTAGATATCAAATGTGCCTATATACACGTATCTACATTTCATGTATCAGTAATACATAAAATATTTCAAATATTAATACCGAAATTATCAGATTATTAACAGCTTTTCAGCCTATGGCTGATCAAAGTTATATATAAAATCAAAATATCAGTTTGTGTACGATTATACCGTGCTGATAGTCTTTATTAATAATAATATACTCACCTAATTGACAAACATGAGTCAGTTCTTTAAATTAGTGATGAATGACTAGTGCTACTAAACCAATTAAAACAAACTTTGCCCGTTAATTCCCGGCAGCCTCGGCTGGGTTGAGCTTCACGTGACGGACGTCCTCCGTGACCCCGACGGGTGAGTGGGGCTGGCTTGGCTGGGTGAGTGACTTGTGTGATTTACTCTGCACATGGGGAGTGACCTGGGGTGATCAGGGTTCTCTGGGTGATCTACATGGGTTAAACCCCGGTCGTCTTGTGAGCTTTGGGGATGACATTAACTTTACGTGGTGAGTGACCTTGAAGATTGGGTAAGTCATCCGGTGCTGTAAAAATGGCGGCCGCCATCGCACAGCTTTTAGATATCCCCGTAGCTTGGCCTGCAGTGGCAGGACACGCTACGTCCTGCCACCTATTTTAAATGCCACCACGTTCATTTCGAATATTTTATCATCGAATTTTGTGATATTGTTTGAACTTTAATGCTAATTTATGTATTTTTTTCTTCTAATATGTGTTAGATATTTGATATGTTGCGTCAAAGAAAATATCATCGAAAATATCTGTAGTTTTTTGTATTCACATTCGCAGTTTTCTTTCACATTGTGCTCATCTTGGCTTTAACGCAATTGTTTAATTGTATTAAGCAGAATTTTTAGCTTCACACCCTGAAAAAATGAACTTATTTCACAAAATCTAAATAATGTCTTTAGAGAAAATGTCCCTACTTATCAATGGCATATAATTTATTATTTGTTTTAGTTGAGTGAGAGTTATGATGATTAATTTAGCGCATGTTATTTCATTGAATTTTTTCATGATTGTTTACAAAAACTAACGTATTCATAGCTTGAAAATCAATCGATCAGTGATGAAACAGTTTATTTAATTTGACATTTTCTAATCGAGACCTTTCTTCTTGATTGTTTGCAATTATTCGAGTGTTTGAACGTTTTACGGTATAAATTCTTAATGAACGTAAAACTTTTGCAGCTTATTCATGGTTTTTACAACATGTCGGTTTATTTCGAGTCCAGATCCATGGGATATTATATTATTTTAAAACCTTAAAAAGTTTCTTTTTTATCCACTTTTTTCGTCTACGAAATTTGCATTATTGCTGAGCAGAATTGTGGATTTTCACTTTGTAAATACATTGAGAAATTACTAACAAAATCGCTTTCTTTTTTTTCAAAATTTCGAGTTCTTTATATCTTGCATTGAAGAGCCTTAAATCATTTGTTGATTTTTATATTGTGAAACATGAACAAGTATTGAATAGGCAATTCAAGTCTTGTCAAGCTCATCAAAGTTTAGCGGACTGCATCAAGTCTCCTCCACTCACAGGATTGTGGAGGCCGTAGGCCAAGTCCTCACGCAACTGCAGTCCATCAGTGCTGAGGACTTCGAGGCGCAGTGGCCAGAAGTGCTGCGCTCCATGCATGAAGCCGGCGCCTCAGCGCAGGACTGGCGGGAGGCGCTGATGTGCCGCCCCCACGAGGCGAGGCTCGCCATCACAGCCGCGCAGGCAACCAGGGCGGAGGACAGGAAGTTCATGATAACGTGCGGTGAGATGCGCGCTTGTTTGTGCATTTATACGAATCTGTTAAATGAACGTAATTCAGCAAACGAAACGTCAGACATCAGTCAGAGGAATTTTAGATGTGAGTCAACTGACTGATAGTTATTAAGAAAAACTGCTCGTTTCGTTAGCAGGCATGAAATAAAGTACACCGCAACTTCTTACCTTACAAGTGCGTATCCCGCAGGACGTGACCTGGAGGCGGTTGCCCTTGTGCTGCCGCACGCTTGGGACGTGATGGTGGAGGTGCAGGCGTCACCGGAAGTTCTGAGGACACCCGCGTGGCAGCAGATTACCCAGCACCACGGCGGGGACTTGGAGCTCCGTCTTCCAGTCCTGGTCTCAGAGTTCCTGCCCTGCGATGACCTCCTTCAGCAGCTGGTGGGCAGCAGGTTAGGCGTCAACTCTTCCGCTTTCGCCTTGCATGATAAATGTATCGAGTTTAATGTTATCAATGACCATGCATGTGGTGCATGGTGGATGACTTTAATGTTATCAATGGTCATGCATGTGGTGTTGGATGAGTTTAATGTTATCAATGGCCATGCATGTGGTGTTGGATGAGTTTAATGTTATCAATGGTCATGCATGTGGTGTTGGATGAGTTTAATGTTATCAATGGCCATGCATGTGGTGTTGAATGAGTTTAATGTCATTAATGGTCATGCATGTGGTGTTGGATAAAGTCCGAAGGCAGGTGAAAAATTCTCTCCCAGGCACCGCTGGCCTCACCTTTTAGCCTTCAATGTGATTAAATTATTGTAATTATATTATAATAATATCAATAGAACAATAGTGTAATAGTTATTACAATAATGAATAAATTATGAGATATTAATGCCATTAAAATGTTAGTATAATTAATAATTATTATTACGATAAATCAGGAAATTTACACCTTTATCAAAAAAGCATTCTGAATACAAAAGGAAGGAATAAAAAAAAATAAGGGAATAATCTGAATAAGGTAATAATTTGCTGCCACGCTGGTTGCATTTTGGTTAATTTTTTAATGTTTATCTTTATCATTAGAATTAAGAATAAAATTAACAAAATAAATATTTAAAAACATATTTAACATATATATTTTAGATCATGGCTACACGCCGCCCCGCAGCCCGAGGCTCCCTTGCGGCGGAGTTGCAAGGCTCGCGTGTTTTCTTGTAGATGGTCCAACTTCAGGAATAATATGAACCTGCAGGTGCAGAGTTAAGGTTTTCTCCGGTCCAACTTCAGGAATATTATGAACTTCCTGGTGGTGCAAAGTTAAGGTTTTATTCGGTCCAACTTCAGGAATATAATGAACTTCCTGCAGGTGCAGTGTTAAGGTTTTATTCGGTCCAACTTCAGGAATATAATGAACTTCCTGCAGGTGCAGAGTTACGCTTTTCCATGGTGGCATCAGGACGGCTGCAGGCGTCGCGGCTCTGGCAGCCGTCGCAGCCTCAGCAGGGCTGGACATCCGCCTCGAGACTCCGCTGGACCTCAGCGCCCTGCGGGGCAAATATTATTACCTCGGTCAGTATTACCAGCGGGATATATATCAGTGTCGTTGTTTGGAGTATCATTGATACGTGTGGGTGGCGCGTTGGGTTTGTAATTTCACGTGATAAAATTTGTGGTTATTTTGTAATCATTTTAGTCAATATTGTTCTCGATCTTTATCATTTATAATTACCAAATTTTTACAATTATGCTTTATCGTAATTATATTATATTAACGTGGTTATAGTCATTTTCTACACTCGAGTCTCAAAATTTAGTCTCTCGCGACACTCGTGCTACTCCTGCAACGCTCGTGCTGCTAGGATGCTCGAGGATGAGAATTATACCAATTATTTTAATAGTTTTCATAGATTTATAATTTTTTGGCGTTGGCTTCCGTGACCGAGCACACAGTCCGTGTTTGCACTCAACAAAAGCCCGAGCAGCTTCTGCTGTGTAAAAGATAATGATGCGACATGCGTGCTGCTATAGCGACATGCGTGCTGCTCTAGCGGCAAGCGTGCAGCTCTAGTGACAAACGTGCTGCTCTAGCAACACTCGTGCTGCTCTAGAAACCCCGTGCTGCTCTAGCAACACTCGCGTGGCTCTAGCAGCAAGCGTGCTGCTCTAGCGACAAGCGTGCTGCTCTAGCAACAAGCGTGCTGCTCTAGCAACACCCGTGCGGCTCTAGCAACAAGAGTGCTGCTCTAGGAACACCCGTGTGGCTCTAGCAACAATCATGCTGCTCTAGCGACAAGCGTGCTGATATAGAAACACTCGTTCTGCTCTAGCGACAGGCGTGCTGCTCTAGCGACAAGCGTGCTGCTCTAGAAAAACTCGTGCTGCTCTAGCGACACCCGTGCTGCCCCAGCAACACTGGTGCTGCTCTAGCCACAAGCGTGCTGCTCTAGCGACACGCGTGCTGCTCTAGCGACAAGCGTGCAGCTGTAGTAACACACATATTGCTCTAGTGACAAGCGTGCTGCTCAAGTGACGAGCGTGCTGCTTTAGTGACAAGCGTGTTGCTCAAGCGACAAGCGTGCTGCTCTAGTGACAAGCGTGCTGCTCTAGTAACACTCGTGCTGCTCTAGTGACAAGCATGCTGCTCCAGCAACGCTCGTGCTGCTCTAGGACAAGCGTGTTGATCTTGAAACACTCGTGCTGCTCTGCCGACAAGCGTGCTGCTCCTGCAAAACTCGTGCTGCTCCTGCGACAAGCGTGCTGCTCTAGAAACACTCTTGCTGCTCAAGCGACAAGCGTGCTGCACTAGTGATAAGCGTGCTGCTCTAGCGACAAGAGTGCGGCTCTAGCAATAAGCGCACTGCTCTAGCGACAAGCGTGCTGCTCTAGCGTCACCCGTGCTGATCTAGCGACAAGCGTGCTGCTCTAGCGACACCCGTGCAGCTCTAGCTAAACTCGCGCCGCTCTACCGACAAGCGTGCTGCTCTAGCAACACCCGTGCAGCTCTAGCTAAACTCGTGCAGCACTATCGACAAGCGTGATGCTCTAGCGATACCCATGCTGATCTTGCGACAAGCATGCTGATCTAGCGACACGCGAGCTGCTCTAGTAATACTCGTGCTGCTCTAGCGACAAGCGTGCTGCTCTAACGACAAGCGTTCCTGCTGTAGCAACACTCGTGCTGCTGTAGCAACAGGCATGCTGCTCAAGCGACAAGCGTGCTGCTCTAGCAGCACTCGTGCTGCCCTAGTGACAAGCGTGCTATTCCTGCGGCAAGCGTGCTGCTCTAGCGACAAGCATGCTGCTCTAGTGACAAGCGTGCTGCTCTAGCGACACCCGTGCTGATCTAGCATCACGCGCGCTGCTCTACCGAAAAGCGTGCTGCTCTAGCAAAACTCGTGCTGCTCCTGCGACAAGCATGCTGCTCTAGCAACACTCGTGCTGCTCAAGCGACAAGCGTGCTGCTCTAGCGACAGGCGCGCTGCACTAGCAAGACTCGCGCTGCTCTAGCGACAATCGTGTTGCTCTAGCAACCCTCGTGCTTCTCTTGCGACATGCGTACTGCTCCAACACCCCTGCTGTTCTAGCAACACTCGTGTTGCTCTAGCGACAAGCGTTGCTGCTCTAGCAACACCCCTGCTGTTCTAGCAACACTCGTGTTGCAACACCCCTGCTGTTCTAGCAACACTCGTGTTGCTCTAGCGACAAGCGTTGCTGCTCTAGCAACACCCCTGCTGTTCTAGCAACACTCGTGTTGCTCTAGCGACAAGCGTTGCTGCTCTAGCAATACCCGTGCTGCTCTAGCAATAAGCGTGCTGCTCTAGCGACAAGCGTGCTGCTTTAGCAACACTCGTGCTGCTCCAGCGACAGGCGTGCTGCTCTAGCGACAAGCGTGCTGCCCTAGCGACAAGCGAGCTGCTCTATTAACATTCGTGCTGCTCTAGCGACAAGGGTGCTGCTCTAGCAACGCTCGTGCTGCTCTAGCATTTTTCGAGCTGCTCTAGCGACAAGCGGGCTGCTCTAGATACACTCGTGCTGCTCTAGCGACAAGCGCAATGCTCTATCAACACTCGCTTTCCTCTAGTGACAAGCGTGCTGCTCTAGCAACACTCGTGCTGCTCCAGCGACAAGCGTGCTGCTCTAGAAACACTCGTGCTATTCTAACGACAAGCGTGCTGATCTAGAAACGCTCGTGCTGCTCTAGTGACAAGCGTGCTGCTCTAGAAACATTCATGCTGCTCTAACGACAAGCGTGCTGCTCCATAGCAATACTAGTGCTGCTCTGGCTACAAGCGTGCTGCTCTAGCGACAAGCGTGCTGCTCTAGCGACACCAGTGCTGCTCTAGCCTCGCCCGTACTGCTGAAAGTGTATAGAACCTGTTGTTGTGATTGCTGTGCCGCATTCGTTATATTAAAAGCAAGCAAGCAGGGCTCAAGGGCGTGCAGGCTGGCTAAGCAGGGCATGAATGCGTGCATATAGTCTGCTGAAGGCTCAGTGACGTTTGGAAACTGTGCTTAATTGCAGACAGCGTTCGTTGGAGGAATATTCTGTGTCACAATAATTTATTTATCATCCCACCATATGATCTGCACCAACGATGGCGAAGACGGTTTGCATCAAAGAAAATGAACTTATTTCATAAAAAGACTCAGAAAAAATGGTTGAGACTGTCCAGTAAACTTCATTTCATTTCTCCCAACAGACGTTTATCCGCTAGTGACTGACACTGCCGTGTCAGCGGTGCCACTACCAGACACGCCTCCGCCCCGGCTAACGGTGTTGGGATGGACGGCTGGGTGCTGGGAGGCTGTGGCCCAGACGGTGCAGGCTTATGCACCCAGCAGCAAGAGGTCAGTTGTGTAGTTGCCTGATGTGGGCCTAATGTTATCAGTCCATCCAACTTACAATACAAAATAATATTCTGTTCACATAAGCACCACAAAATTCATTGATTAATTATTATTGCTGGTATTTTAGGTACGTGGCAGGTTGATGGAAGCCGAAAGGTCGTCGTCTGTTGGCTGGAGACCGATTATTGTGAAACAATTTGCATCCGACACAGTAAAGAGAAGTATTATATGGCTTGTTATTAATACTAGTACAAGGTAACGGTGGGCCATATTTGTTAAGAAGAAAGTGAGGACTCATAACTAACAATATGGTTCGCACGCCATTGATGCTCCAACGGGTTATATGTCTATGCAGTTACGATTAAATAGGCGCGTAATATTTATATATAATTTATTCAGTTCAATTAACAAGTATTGACCGCGGCCATCATGATTGTCCGCTAAACGCAGCAACAATATCATGTTGACGTCGCAGCATTTCCTCCTTGTCGCGACCTGGGGGCACGGAAGCCGCAGAGTTGCCTGAGGGGCGGGGGAGTGACTCCTTATTTCCCCACGCGGGCATATTAGGAAACATTATTAGGAGAAATGAGACGGTCAAAATAGCCCTTATATGGTCCAATTTGGTCCTTATGCGAGTCATCACGTCCTAGTTTGACCCTCATCAGTGCTACGGCCGCTCTCTGACCGTATAAGAAAGTGGGTCACTGTTTGGACAATTTGATCCATTCATTTTCTCAGTGAATTTACTGCTGGCTTAATAGCATGCAAAATATTATCCCTTCTAGCAGTCAGTAGAATTAATTTATCCATTTATTTTTAATTGTATTATATTGTATCGCAGGTACGAGGCCATTAAACTGAGTAGACGAGAGCTGAGCCCGGACGAGGTTCGGCGGCTGCTAGCGCTGCTACACGAGGCGGGGATCAGGACCAGCGACGCGGGCGCCACGCGCAGCGACATCGACGGGTGAAGATGTGGGGGGTTGGGAGGGGCTGTGGTGGGGAGGTTGGGGGGGGTTGAAAGGGCTGTGATGGGGGATGGTGTGGGGTTAGGAGGGCTGCAGTGGGGGATGTTTAGGGTTGAAGGCTGTAATGGGGGATGGTGTGGGGTTAGGAGGGCTGCAGTGAGGGATCTTTAGGGTTGAGGGCTGTAGTGGGGGATTGTGTAGGGTTAAGAGGGCGATAGTGGGGGATGGTGTGGGGTTAGGAGGGCTGTAGTGGAGGATGGTATGGGGTTGGGAGGGCTGCAGTGGGGGATTGTGTAGGGTTGGGAGGGCGGTAGTGGATGATGGTGTGGGGTTGCGAGGGCTTCAACGGGAGATGATGTGGGGTTAGGAGGGCTGTAGTGAGAGATGTGGGGTTAGGAGCGCTTCTGTAAATTATACAACATGATGGACGTTGAATTTAAAGCCGAAAATCGTAAGGTCTTGAAGGCGCATGTTGCTTCCTCATGCCTGATGTGAGGTTACGTAAAGCCCGGTCCACACGCTCAGTTTTACACAACGATTTGTCTGCGCAGTTCTAATCGTTGCAGATAAAACGTTGCGTGTGGACGGGAAAACTGCGCAGTTTTGGAGCCGGCGGGAAAACTGCGCAGTTCCATCGAAATCTGAGCCACCGAGCATAGATTTCGATGAACTGCGCAGACAAGTCGGAACGTGTGGACGGTAGCACAGTTTTCCGATTCGATTTGTGCTCAGTTTCAATGATTCTGGCGACAATGGCGAACCTTCGGTAATGTTCTCGGGAATTTATTGCTTTTCTATACGAAAGTTTTTCTTGTATTTGGCGAGTAAAATTCAATGACTATAGTAACAGGGACAAAAAAGGTAGAGACATACAAGGGCTTAGTGGAAAAATTTGAAGAAATCTATGAAAGCGCAAACAGAGACACAGCTGTAAAACAAGTTGATGAGCATTTACCGTAAATAATTGGGAATAAAACAAAAAATCGATTCCATCTGGACCTGGAGAAAGAGGCATCTACAAGCCATCTCTCTTGTATTTTGATTCCTCGCATTCCCTAAATGATCCAATCTTTTTTTAACAAGGCACAATGCCAAAATTTATCAAAATACTGCCTTCTCCATGGCTCGTGTCGGACAAATTTACGGCTGGTCTCCCCAAATTCGATGGGCATGGAATATCTCCCTAAGTAATGAACGTAGCTCGATAAAACTTGGTACACGTGTTCATTAGAACTTAACGGTAATATTTAACACGTGACAATTTTTTCCGATTGTGCCTTCGTTTGCGAGTTATACGGCTCTATCTAATCTAAAAAATTGTCACGAGCTAAACATCGCCGTTAGGAGGTTAGGTTCATATATTCAAAGTTTCGTTCAAATCTGTACAGCAGTTATGAAGAAATGCCATGCTCACTGCAAATTTCGGCACGTTTTCGTCATATAACTCACGAATGAAGGTGAAATTCAAAAAATGTCTACGAGCTAAACATTACCGTTAAGTCCTAATGAATACGTGTACCAAGTTTTATCGAGCTACGTTCATTACTTTGAGAGATATTCCATGCTCACCGAATTTGGGGAGACCGGCCGTAGATTTGTCCGAGATGTCTCCATGGCGAGATCGCGCAAAACTGAGCAAACTACTCAGATAAGTCGGCACCGTGTGGACGCTCTTAAAATTGCAACGATTTCATTCCGACTTAAAACTGCGCAGACAAATCGTTGTGAAAACTGAGCGTGTGGACCGGCCTTTAGGCTACTTTAGAGTCGATGTGCAGTGAGTTGATTTACATTCAATGTATTCACGGCGCGCGGGTCGTCGCAGTGACGTCCATTTCTTCTCTACAGTTTGGGCTGGCGCCGCCTTCGGATTTGCGACGACCTGTGACTTCCTGTCTGTGACGTGGACCCAGCGAACGAGAAGTGGCGCCATTTCTGGAGTTCCTGCATTGCTGGAACCCATAACGCGGACTGACCGTCATATCCTGCTGTATCTGTGGGTTGTTTGTGCATGCCAGCTGTCCTGTGACGTTGAAAGCAGTTAGTCATCGTAATTTAGCTGATATTTTCGCTTGAGGGCTCCATGCTTTCCACGTCGGTGACCATGTTTGATAATTCCACTTCTGGTGCTGCATTTCCGAGTTGTCTTGATTATTTAGGATTGTTTTAATATGTCTAAATTAGTTAAGAGTTCCACGTTTGTTTCCAGGCTGGAAGGCCTCGTAATCTTTATTGCTCGCCTGCCAAGCCATGCCAACGGCTAAGCGTGGCACGCCCGTATCCATGTTTGCTGCGCTTAGGCGGCCTCGTTATTGATTTTACCTTCACTGCAATGAGTTATTCGCCTGATTTGCCTGTTATATAATATTAATACATTAACAGTGCAGCAATGCAGAAGGGCAGTGATGCACCAGCGGCGAGTGCTCGCTATTGCTTTCATGAATTATTCACTTATTTTGTTTGTGACCTATTGATTATTGTTATGATTATTTTATTCGTTTTTCAATTCGCTTAATTGCTCTTCCTTTGTTTCCAGAATAAATGATTCGAATTGCCAATTCGGGGCTTTATTATTGTTCCTTCGTTTCAATAATAATGAATCGAGTTGCCAAGTCGAAGCTTTATTATTGTTTGTTCGTTTCAAGAATAAATGATTAGAGTTGCCAAGTCAAGGCTTTATTATTGTTCCTTTGTTTTATGAATGAATTATTCGAGTTGCCAAGTCAAGGCTTTATTATTGTTCCTTTGTTTTAAGAATGAATTATTCGAGTTGCCAAGTCAAGGCTTTATTATTGTTCCTTTGTTTTAAGAATAGATGACTTGAGTTGGCAAGTCGCAGCTTTATTATTGTTTCTTCCTTTCAAGGACAAATGAGTTGAGTTATCAGGCTAACCAGTATAAACAGAAACATTTACAGTTAAGCCGAGAATATCAGGGCAAAAAGTTTTAATTGGAAATGTGTTAAAAGATTCATATCATGTTGCCACTCAACCAGAATATTTAAATTCATTTTCCCGTACAAATAAACAAAGATTTTTTTACTGTATTTCAAGGGATATTTCGGTTATCTCAATTTACAGACATGAAATGTATTTTTCAAAATGAATTTCTTGTAATAAGTTTTCTTCCACCTAAAAATCCCTCATTTTGGTTCATTTAGTTCGCTGAGCTGCGCAACGTGATAAGCAGGAAGCCGCTTATCAGGCCCTGGAAGATAACGAGTGTCAGCGCCTGCAACTACGCGCCTTCTGGTGCACGTATGGAGTTTTAATTTAAACTTCCATACCTCTAAATCCATACCTCTGTTTGAAGCCTAGCATCGTAAATAAATAGCGACTATTGGGTCACACTTCGGGAAGTGTAGCTCTTGGCCGTAAATTTAATGTTAATGTGTAATTGATCAAATTATCAACTTGATACACGAGCGAGAGAATTATCAAGGTCGGGGGCAGCGGTGGCTATGCGGCATTGAATCGTTTTGCACCGCATTGAAATACGACCTGGCAACTGGATACCATCAAGTCAAAGAGGGAGCATGGCACGCGGGAGCTGCACGGCCGTATCATGGATACCATCAAGTCAAAGAGGGAGCATGGCACGCGGGAGCTGCACGGCCGTATCATGGATACCATCAAGTCAAAGAGGGAGCATGGCACGCGGGAGCTGCACGGCCGTATCATGGATACCATCAAGTCAAACAAGGATCATGGCACGCGAGAGCTGCACGGCCGTATCATGGATACCATCAAGTCAAAGAGGGAGCATGGCACGCGGGAGCTGCACGGCCGTATCATGGATACCATCAAGTCAAACAAGGATCATGGCACGCGAGAGCGGCGCGGCCGTATCATGGATACCATCAAGTCAAAGAGGGAGCATGACACGCGGGAGCGTCACGGCCGTATCATGGATACCATCAAGTCAAAGAGGGAGCATGGCACGCGGGAGCGGCACGGCCGTATCACGGATACCATCAAGTCAAAGAGGGAGCCTGGCACGCGCAAGCAGACTACGTTGTGTATAGTGGCAAAAAAAGATGAATGAAAAAGTTATATGAGAACTACAATAAACAAACGACAAATACATATAAAGACAGGAATATAACCGTGGGTTCTTTTTGCTCTAATTCTTATTTTTGGCCTCAAGATTCGCAGCCTTTCTGAAATTAATAAATGAACGAGAATTTAGAACCAGCAATATTTGTGCATCAAAAGCAGAATATAACGTAAACAGGATAAATAAATAATAATATCGTAATCGTAATCATGCACCTATCTAAATACCACCACTGAAATGCAACAGAAAATTATCACAAAAATAAACTGACCAAATGACAGAGTAACTCGTACCTCCGTGGTGGATCACACACCAATGAACAAGTTTCAGTGCTTAACTAAACGAGAGCACGTCCGAGGTGACCTAAAATCAAAAAATTAGAATACCTAACCGTTATAAAACACTAATGCACCGCGTCCCCTAACAATAGGTATCAGCTCAGTCGTTTCTAAAATAGAATTAGTATTCATAACTCCTGAAATTCAACTCGAAAGTTCTCACAAATCTAGAAATTTATTCTTTTCAAAGCGATAAAAATTCTGTTAAAATTTCACAACTCTCAGTTTAGCTGTTTCTAAAATAGAATTAAAATTCATTACCCCAGAAGTTCAACTCGAAAGTTCACGCAAATCCAAACATTTATTTACTTTAAAGTTGTGACAAATCTGATAAAATTATACGACTATCAGTTCAGCCGTTCTAAAATAGAAATAATATTCATAACTCCTGAAATTCAACTCGAAAGTTCTCAAAAAATCTGGAAATTTGTTTATTTTATAGTGGTAAAAGGTCTGCTAAAATTTAGCGACTATCAGTTCAGCCATTTCTCAAATAGAATTAGTATTCATATATCCTGAAATTCAACACGAAAGTTCTCGCAAATTTAGAAATTTATTCACTTTAAAGAAGCAAAAAGTCTGTTAAAATTTCACGACTATTAGTTCAGCCGTTTCAAAAATAGAATTAGTATTCATAACTCCTGGAATTTATTTTGAAAGTTCTCGCAAATCTAGTAATTCATTCACTTTGAAGCGGAAAGAAGTCTTTTAAAATTTCACGAGTATCAAGTCAACAGTTTCTAAAACAGAATTATTATTCATAACTCCTGACTTTAACTCGAAAGTTCTCGCAAATCTAGAAATTTATTCACTTTATTTAAAGCGGTAAAAAGTCTGTTAAAATTTCCCGAGTATCAGTTCAGTCGTTTGTAAAGTAGAATTAGCATTCATAACTCTTGAAATTCAACTCGAAAGTTCTGGCAAATCTAGAAATTTATTCAATTTAAAGCAGTAGAATGTCTGTTAAAATTTCACGACTATCAGTTCAGCTGTATCTGAAATAGAATTAGTTTTCATAACTCCTGCAATTCAACTCGAAATTTCTCGTAAATCTAGACAATTATTCTCTTTTAGGCGGTAAAAATTCTGTTAGAATTTCACGAGTATCAGTTCAGTCGCTTGTAAAGTAGAATTTGCATTCAAAACTCCATAAATTCGACTCGAAAGTTCTGGCGAATCTAGAAATTTATTCACTTTAAAGCCGTAAAATTCTGTTAAAATTTCACGAGTCTCTATCTACTTCAGTCGTTTGTAAAATAGAATTAGTATACATAACTCCTGAAATTCAACTCGAAAGTTTTGGCAAATCTAGACATTTATTCACTTTAAAGCAGTATAGAAAGTCTATTAAATCGTCACGACTATCAGTTCAGCTCTTTCTAAAATAGAATTTGTATTCATAACTCCTGAAAATCAACTCGAAAGTTTCCACAATTTCAGAAATTTATTCACTTTAAAGCGATAGAAAGTGTGTTTAAATTTCACGACTATCAGTTCAGCAGTTCTAAAATAGAATTAGTATGCATAACTCCTGAAATTTAGTTCGAAAGTCCTCGCAAATCTAGAAATTTATTCACTTTAAAGCGGTAAAAGGTCTGTTAACATTTCACGAGTATCTGTTCAGCCGCTTCTAGAATAGAACTGGTATTTATAACATCCGAAAATCAAGTCGAAAGTTCTGGCAAATCTAGAAATTTATTCACTTAAAGAGGTAATAAGTCAGTCAAAATTTCACTAGCATCAGTTCAGCTGTTTCTAAAATAGAATTAGTATTCATAACTCTTGAAATTAAACTAGAAAATTCTAGCAAATCTGGAAATTTGTTCACTTTAAAGCGGTAAAAAGTCTGTTAAAATTTCACGGCTATCAGTTCAGCCGTTTCTAAAATATAATTAGTATTCCTAACTCCTGAAATTCACCTCTTAAGATCTCGCAAATCTAGAAATTTATTCACTTTAAAGCGGTAAAAATTCTGTTAAAATTTCACGAGTATCAGTTCAGCCGTTCCTAAAATAAAATTAGTATCCATAATTTCTGAAATTCAACTCGAAAGTTCTCGTAAATCTAGAAATTTATTCACTTTAAAGCGGTAAAAAGTCTGGTAAAATTTCACTAGTATCAGTTCAGCCGTTTCTAAATTAGAATGAGTATGAATAACTGCTGAAATTTAACTTCATAAACTGATTATAACAATCATGAAGTATAGAAACAAAGCAGCAAATTTGGTTGTTGCAGAAGAAATGAGCTCCAATGTCTGACGATTGTCGACATCGCACGACTGCACCGAGTCAAATGATTTAGTGACTGTCGCGTGGCGAAGCATTGAGAATTTCTCCACACAGCTTAGGTCTTTGCATGAGTCACCGCTACTGGTAATCATAATATCTCCTATTTCAATCTGTATGCGGTTGGTTTTGATTTACGTTACTAAAACTGCTTGAGTTTTCAAGAAATTTGTGATCATTAAAGAAGTGATGATCATCTGCGATTAAGAAATATATGTTCGATATGTTTCATCGTTATAAATATGTATTTGAAGAGAATTTATTGCATGTATTCACATTGATAGAGGGCTGACAATCATTAAAAATTTGAAGGCTAGTTGATAAATTTGTGAAAAATTCGAGTGTATGTCACAGCAATGTGTGCCAGGAATGGAAAAAAACGTGCAAACAGAGAAGTGCTTCTTCATCCAATTCTACGTCGACGCTGTGGTCGAGGATGTGGTGCCGGCCAGCGACGAAACATCTGCTCCCTCAAAAAACAACTGTGAACATCGAACCAACAAACGGTGCCAAAATTTTTGATGCGTTTAATTTCCATCAAAACATTTTTATGTGGTGTAACTATTCCATGCAAAGCAGTTTCTTCCCAATTTAGAGGATCTAATGAGAGTAGCAGTAGTTTAAATAAAAGTCCCAAATGGGGATCATGAGCAGAAGCCTAATAAAGTATACCAATTCATTTTTGTCACCTTTCTTATTGTTATTTCCCATCTTATAAAGTGAGTACGTGATATTAGTTCTTTCTAATGAAAATTTCTTTATTTATAATCACAAAAAAAACACAAAATGAGCTAGATTACATGAAGAAACAAACAAAGCTCTTTTCAAACTAAACATACGAAGGTAATAAC